CATAAAAAGTAAGCTGTAGAGTAATACAGTTATAATGTAAAAACAGTTTTAAAACCTAAATAATAATATATATATGCTCTGGTAGCTTAGTGGTTATGAGTTGGGCTGCTAACTTCAAGGTCAACAGTTCGAAACTACTAGTCGTTCTGCAGGAGAAAGATGTGACTTTCTGCTCTGGTAAAGATTTATAGCCTCAGAAATACTATACAGGGTTGCTATGAGTTGAACACCTCCATCACCCTATTGGATTCATAAGCATGTAATAAAAGTAAGAAATCATACATGAAACTGATAAATATCAAATTTATAATAGTGTATTCAAGGAGGAAGAAAAGAGAATAGTATGGGGGAGGGTTAGAAAGTCTCAACTGTCCCTATAATGTTCCTCTTTTTAAAAAAGAAAGATCTGACTGGATTATGATAGACTATATGCTAAAATTAGATATACAGAATATAGCTTGGTAATGACTACACAAGTGTTAACCTCTATACACTTGTGTTGTTATTGTTGTTAGGTGCCATCGAGTCAGTACCGACTCATAGTGACCCTATGCACAACAGAACGAAGCGCTGCCTGGTCCTGGGCCAACCTCACAGTTGTTGCCATGCTTGAGCTCATTGATGCTGCCACTTTGACAATCCATCCCACTGGGGGGTCTTCTTCTTTTTCTCTGCACATCCATCATTTTAAATATTGTCTAAGTTATTTTTAAACATATCATTATACTGTTATGAGGATGTTGTTTGTTAAATTGTCATTGATAAAAGTTATTTTTTCCCCAGGACTCAATTACTAAATAATATTAATGTTGTTGTTGTTGGTAAGTGCTGTCAAGTCAGTTCTGACCCATAGCAATCCTGTACAGGGTCCCCAAGGAGGCATGATGAGCCTGAACTGCTGACCTTGTGGTTCAAACCGATTTTGCAGTCCAGTGTATTAGCCCACAGTGCCACACCAGGATTCCAAATAATACTGATAGAATGATACAATGGAAAAAGTACATACTTTAGAGTTGGACAGATCTGGGTTTTAACCTTGGTTCCATTGGAAGATAAGCACTGGGCTGCTAACCACAAGATTGGTGGTTGAAACTCACCAGCCACTCCTCGGCTACCCTATACAAGGTTGCTATGAGTTGGAACTGACTCT